TTGCTGAGCTTCTATCATGGTATTTGAAGCCTTCCTGTACTCCCATCATGGTATTCGAAGCCATCCTGGTCATCTCTATGGGACCAGCAACGAACCAGATGGGAAATGGAGTAAGTCGACCGTATGCTGAGATTCCTGACAGTGGGTAAAGCTGAGGTGGACGGTGTTGTTAATGTGGACGGTGGAGAAGAACGAGGCTCTCTCTCTCTCTCTCTCTCTCTCTCTCTCTAGATTCATATACTGCCATCTCTCCCAAACTGACTGTCCTTACAATACTTCCCCCCTCCTATCTCCCCTCCTTTCTGCCCCCCCCTTCCCCCCCTCCTCTATCCCTTCCTTCCCCCCCTTCCCCCCTCCCTCCGTCTCTTTCTTGTACACCTGTGATTGTATAAGCTGAGGTGTTGCCCATTTTTGTTTTGTTTTTCTTTCTCCTCCGCCTGTCAGAAACACCAGACCTCTTCCTTAGGACATGATGTGGATAAACTAGTGCGAAGGTAACACTGAGGGGTCTTTTTTTGGGTGGGTTTTAACGGGTTTGGGGCGGGTTTTGGAGCGGCTTCTTTGGCAGGTTCCTTGGCGGGTTTTTTGGCGGGTTCTCTGGCGGGTTTTTTGGCGGGTTCTCTGGCGGGTTTTTTGGCGGGTTCTCTGGCGGGTTCTTGGCTAAACATGTATAAACAAACCTAACCAACCACAACACCACGTATTAAATGGGTCAAGTAAGTGTGTGTGAGGAAAGGCGTTGTGTCGTAGTCACTAACAAAAGCTCCCCGACGCTCATCCATTATTGATGTATTGATGTAATATTTAATGTGGAGGAGAAATTGATGGCATTACCGGGAACCACGCAAGCTTAGTCACTGTACCAGCCAGGCTCTCTTAGGTCATTATCCTGGTGTGTGGTGGTAGATGAGAGAGAGAGAGAGAGAGAGAGAGAGAGAGAGAGATTGCACACAGACACACACACACACACACACCGAGCGTGGATCGATATGGCGTTCGGACAGAAACAGAGGCGACCATCTTGGAACTGTAGGGTGGTGGGTGGCATTGTTCCTGCACCTGACGTCCTTCTCCCTCCCCCTCCTCCTACATATTCACCCCAGAGGCGTCACTTACAAAGAGAACTGGAGAGTGGGGAATGGAAACTAAATGGAAATTAGGAAGAATAATTGGGGAAAACTGGTATGAGCTGCGAGTCCTGGGAAGAGCTTGGGCATATAGGTGATACAAAGATGAGCTGAAGACACAAAATTATTGGGAAAAACTGATGAAGATGAGTTTTGGGAACTAGGGAGCTGAGGGCTTATTATTGGTGCTGAGGAGCTTATGGGGTGCAGGGAGGGCTGGGGTGCTGAGAGGGGCTTATAGGCACTGAGAGGTTTAGGGTGCTGAGGAGGAGCTTTGGGGGTGCTGGGGAGGGCATTTGGATGGGGACGCGCTAGGTAAGGGGGAGACGACGAAGGGGTGGCAAGGAAGTGTAGTGAGGATATTCCATGTGTTCTCAGGTGCGGATCACCCCCTCCCCCAGCACAGGTATACTCCACTGTCTCCTGATCTCCCTAAGAAACTTCTCACAACCTCTTTGGAGATCCACTGGAGTCGTGTGGTCACAGCCTCGCCCTACCACCTGCCTGCCACACCGTATACACCTGCCTGCCACACCATATACCTGCCTGTCACGCTATCTGTCACCCACCACAACATCTACACCATCTCTCATTGACCACATATTCACCATCTGTAGGCCCACATCTACATCCACACCATCTGTCGCTTAATAGATCATCCTCTCTCTCTCTCTCTCTCCTAAATCGCAATCATATTCAAATCACCTCAATAATCACCCTATTCTCCCCAGTATAAGGCAACTTCAGGGATAGTTAAAACACGACGAAGAAAGGAAGGGGGTATGAGGAGGAGGGAGGGAGAATGGGAAGGGAGTGAGGGAGGGAGGGACGAAGCGCTGAGGAGGAGGAGGGTAATCTTTCACGCTAGGAGCACGTGTTCTCCACGCTCCCTCCACGCTCCCAGGTATTAGAATGATATGCTCCAGGGTGCTCTAGTAAGGAGTTTCCACCCATTACCGCCCATTGTAGGAGTCGATGGTCCCTTTTCTGGCGTGTGTGTGTGTTTGTGTGTGTGTGTGTGTGTGTGGGTGTGTGTGTGTGTGTGTACAGGGGGGCGACAAGAATGGACTTAAGGAACTGCTGTGTACGGGAAAAATTAAGACAGACAGACAGGCAGACAGGCAGACAGACAGACGCAAAAGAGAATACGATGCAAACTACCAACATATCTTCTCACGTCACCTGAAGAAGTACAGGAGGGTGCAGGAGGCGTCGAAGGAGGAAGGAATCACGGGTCTGGGGAGGGCGGCCGTCGAGCTGTGACTTACAGAACCTCGACATTATTTCCTGAGTGTTTGGGCTGTGGGCTGATTGTTTATCTATCTCGGGCCTAAATCTAAATTTGTCTAATTTAAAACCATTGTTACGAGTTCGCTCCTGGTTGGATAGTTTGAGTACCTTTGTTATATCACCTTTGTTTAGCCCTGACTTCCATTTATACACCTCTATCATATCGCCCCTCGCTCTACGTCTCTCGAGGGAGTGCAAATTAAGATGCTTTAACCTGTCTCTGTACTCAAGGTTCCTGATGCCCGGGATTAGTCTTGTCATTCTCCTCTGAATTCTTTCGTCCTGTTGTGTTCTCGACTGGCTAGTGATTATTGTTGTTATTGTTGTTTTGTTATTATTATTATTATTATTATTATTATTATTATTATTATTATTATTGTTGTTGTTATTACCGTTGTTTTTGCTACAGGAATGGTAATTAATTCTACATAATTTTGCTTTTGTCTATGAATTAATTGCCTCATTAGAGCGAGTTGTTACATAAATAAGGTCACCCAAAGTTAGTAAAGAGTTGGATATAGTTCAGTCCGTTCATGTATGTGTGTCTGTAGCTGTACGTGTGTGCGTGTGTGTGTGTGTGTGTGAACGTGCGTCAGTGTGTGCGTGTGTTGGGGACAGTGACACCATCAACGCAGGGTCGAGTAGTATACGCCCATTACAGTGGGCGGTGAGGCGTTGTTCTGCCGCCCATCCTTCCCCAGTCGACCACCCACTTGCCGCCCAACGAATCATAGTTTGAGCTCACACACACACACGAGAAGCCAAGGTCCCTCCATAAAGACAAAACAAGTTATATATCCTATAATTATGGACGGAATGACCTGATTATCGACCTCTTCCCACCTCTTGCTACGCCACATCCACACACCAAGTCTCATTAAAACCCATAGTTATGTGTTCAAGTTATAATGTTCATAAGATACACCGAACGGATGGGTAGGTAGACGGGACGATGTTAGATCCACGTCCCCGACCCGCTGTTCCGACATGACAGGGGATAAATTAGCAACTGAGGAAGAATTGTGTTTACTTAATGAACTGAAGTGAGCTGAAGTGATGTGAGGTTGTATTGAAGTGTTCATGTTGGTCTTATAGTTCTACATAGATGCTCCTTCAAAAATTCCTCCCACAACCTAACCTAACCATACCATTAACACTGACACCCATTAGCTCATCCACCCATTAGACCCATTTAGGAACTAGGAATCATTAGAATTGACTAGATTAATTTACCTTGATATTGTACCTATTCTAATCAACAGGTGTAAAGGTCATAGCGGGGATAATGGTCCTATTGCCTCTACAGGTGTACTTCTGGCACTCATTAACCTGTCTGCTTTAATTAACACAGATCCATCCATGAATATTTTATGTGTGTGTGTGTGTGTGTGTGTGTGTGTGTGTGTAAAATTCCGAATAATTCTGCGTATCTCTCTCTCTCTCTCTCCTTATCTGTTTATCTCTCTATTTCTGGATCCTTCACTCTCTCTCCTCTCTTCATTCTCTCTGTCTCTCCTCACTCTCCCTTTCTCTATTCATGGTATAATGTGTTTACCTCGTTCCGGCAACTAGGGTCTTTAAGTGCGTAACAAGCATGATAATTACCCCCAATCAATCAACAACCAAGAGCTATAAACGATCCAACTCTCTATCTCTGCCACAATGTAGAGTTCAATCCCTTATACTTTTCAATGTTGATATATGAGCGTATTTTACTAACCTTATTGCATGCTCAGTTACCTTATATAGCAATGATTATCTCACAGGTAATCAGGGCTAGAGAACACGATTATATAAACTTCCGTGATATAATTTCCAGTGGTTTAATAATTTTGAGGTTTATAATAATTTTTTTTGGGGGGGGTTTTAGATGAACCAGTGGAGGTAAGGTTATGGTTTATGGATTTGTGATAACACGCATCGTTACCACCACACTTCCTCACTAAACCAGGAGAGGTGTTTGGGTTTTTAGCTGTGTGTGTGTGTGTGTGTGTGTGTGTGTGTGTGTGTGTGTGTGTGTGTGTTTAGAGTTATGTGATTTGTTTTATTGTTTTATTTGTCTTAATATTTAAAGAAGATCTGGGGGTTTTTTACACCAATTTATCAATTATTTTTATTTTTTTTTTAATTATTGTATAAAAATTTGAGACGACAATGTTTCCAAAATGTTTTCTCGTGTATGGATGTTATGTTTTTGTAATGATATAAATTGTTTTTGTTATATTTGCAGAATTTTTTATACTGTACGAGGCGTGTTAGAATGTTATGGGGATGTTTTCGTTAAATATATTCTCAGAAGGTGTTGTGTTAAGTTAAATATCTGGTTCTGTTATTATTTATTTATTTAGGAATCATTAACTGGCTTGTGTGTTATTACCAAAAAATATGAAACCCCAAAAAACTTATTATTTTCAAAGTTTTCCCCTCGGTAATAACTAAACCTTTCTTACAGGACAACTTTTAGTGTTAATATCACAGTTGCTTCGCCTCTGGAAGTATTGAGACACACGGGTAAAATAAACTAAAGGAGAGAGAGTCACCAAAAACACTTCCCTCCGTCAGGTTTGTTGTCACTTAACTTACCTGTAACCGAGTCTTCATCTTCTGTGTTAAGGACGCCTCTCGCTCAGTCTCTACCTTCTCTCTCGTTTCTTCTTTGGCTTAATTTACTGTATTCCTCTCATCGGGAGTGATGCCACTATACACAGACTAAGTTCTACAATCTACTTTCTGCCAATGTTACAACGTTTGTTAGCGTCAGCACATTCTCTCGACGGCCGCGCGCTCAGTTCGAAATCTGGCGGGCTTCTGAGCTCTTCCCGGCAGGGCCTCAGGGCAGAACTGTCTCGCCTTTCACTTGTTGTTGTCATCGGTAGCCCGCGAGCTCCCCCCTCGTTGCCATGGTGACGCTTCCACCAATCCCCGGTCATCGACGGTTAACCCTCCGCCAATCACGGCGTTCAGGCGGTTACACCTAGACCAATCCACGCGCTTGGGTGGTTACCCCTAGACCAATAACACCACCCTAATCCCATCCAATTAGTGTCTCGCTTCACACCATAGGCAGGGAGAGAGAGACCGGGAGAGACACACACACACACGTTGAGTATAAAACACAGAGGATAAATTCCTTACTAACAAACCGATGGCGCTGTCATTTTGCCGGCGCGGACGACTCGTTACGGCGGGTGAGGATGAAGGCTCAACACGCTGGCTGGGGAAAGGACTTAATTGACCGTGCATACAATGTCATATTACCGAGACCTGTGTAACGCCTCCCTGGACAGCCACAAGGATCACCACTACAACAAACTCTCACTTTCGGTGCAGTGGTTGATGGGGTAGAGGGGCAGGAGAGGGGGGAGGGGCAGGAGAGGGGGGAGGGGCAGGAGAGGGGGGAGGGGCAGGAGAGGGGGTAGGGGCAAGAGAGGGGGGTATTATAAAGAATAAACGTATCTCATGATGATTAGGTTAGCTTAGGTTAGGTTTGGTTAGGGTTTGGTTAAGCTGTACTAGATTAAGTTGGATTAGTTACGATTTTGTACTAGAGCCGATGTAGCATTAATAGCATCATATTTAGTTACCAATATGTTGTATTTTATTAATTATGTAACAAGGCTACAATAAGAGGTGCAGGTACAGAGACTAATACAAGTACAGATATTTCAAAACAATTACAAAACACAAACACGAAACAATCTTATGTTATCATGTCATGTCACCCTACACACACACACACACACACACACACACACACACACACACAGTATTGGTCTGTAGTGTAGGTAGATTAAATCTAATGCGACTTACAGTAATTTTTTGTACCCGGACGACGGAAGTTTATAATGTACTGTACCGTTATGGGTAATTATAATAAACTATACAGTGTTCATAGTGTATCTCTCTCTCTCTCTCTCTCTCTCTCTCTCTCTCAGGTTGTAATATTAATTTTTCATTCATAATTTATATTTAGTTCATCCACAAAAATCTCCCGTTCTGTGTGTGTGTGTGTGTGTGTGTGTGTGTGCCAGTTCCGTAAGGGTTTATCGCTCCTTCGTGTAAAATTTTTGTCTGTGAAACATGGAGGTGAGAGGTAGCGACTTTAATCTCTCTCTCTCTCTCTCTCTCTCTCTCTCTCTCTCTCTCTCTCTCTCATCACCCTATCCTCCCTCACCTTCCCTAAGCTCCCTCACCTCCTTCCCCTCACCTCCTCCTCACCTTCCTCCCCTCACCTCCTTCCCTCACCTCCCTCCTCTGCCCCATACCTCCCCTCCCCACCTCCCCTCCCTCACCTTCCCTCCCTCACCTCCCTCCTCCTCCCCTCTCTCCCACCTTCCCTTCCCTCCCCTCACCTTCCTTCCCTTCCTCCCACCTTTCTTCCTCCCTCACCTTCCTCCCCTCCTCCTCCTCCTCCTCCTCCTCCCTCCCCCCTCCCCCCCTCCACCTTTGTTGCAGGTACAGGAACAAAGGTGTCGGCAGCATGGGGTGGAGAGTCACCTTTGTTTTGTGTTATTCCGTCCATTTCCGCGCGAAAGAGGGACAACTGACTACTTATTACCGAGTCCTATTAGAGTCTAATTACAGAGTCCTATTACAGAGTCCTATTAGAGTCCTATTACAGAGTCCTATTGCTAGGTAATTATTATTGTGTGTTTTTGTCGCTTGTTGCTATAATGTGTTTGTTGTTGTTTTTGTTTTAGTGATGTTTAATATTGGTGGGGTGTTATTAGTGTATCCTGTGTGTGTGTGTCTGTGTGTGTGTCTGTGTGTGTGTGTGTGTGTGTCCTGTCTGTGTGTGTGTGTGTCTCTGTGTGTGTGTCTGCCTGTGTGTGTGTGTGTGTGTGTGTGTGTGTGTCTGACTCTCTCTCTCTCGCTCTCTCCCTACGGTAAACCTGCATTATTAAACAGATCAGGAAACATACTCAGTATAACACTCACCTGTGGCAGACTCACACAGGTAAACACAGGTGAGATTACCCTTCAGTGCCACAAGAAGCTACTCTGTATAGGCTAATGGTGTAAACCTTTCTCAGGACTGTGACGTAACCTAGGTAGAGGGAGGAAGTAGGTGGTGTGTGTGTGTGTGTGATCAAGGCAGCCTTACACCGTGACAAATTGACTCTCTTGTGAAGGCAGATGATCAAGTAACATATGGTAGTGACGTCAATCTGATAGTACTGCCCTAATAATAATAATAATAATAATAATAATAATAATAATAATAATAATAATAATAATATAATAATAATAATAATAATAATAATAATAATAATAATTAATAATAACAATAATAATAACAATAATAATAATAATAATAATAATAATAATAATAATAATAATAATAATAATAATAATATAATAATAATAATAATAATAATAATAATAATAATAATTAACGGTTTATTGAAAATGTTCTGCAGCCCGCAGGCTGAAAATATGCATTGGACATAAATTACTTATTACATACAAAGACATGGGGTGGGTGGGTGGGTCGTTTAACAAAAGTTTTCATTACTAAATTAGAAGGAACAATGATTGAACATACAAATTATTATAGTTTGCAGTTGATGGCCCGGGCCTGGACTGGTCATGGAGACACCAGGTGGTGTGGTGTTCACGTGGTGTAGTAACTCGTCCTCGGGTGTTGATATGGAGGACTTGTGTGTGTGTGTGTGAACCCTCCCGTCTCACCCGTCAATAAACACTAAGGGATAAGTTTATCCCGTCGTTAATTATCCTGGTAAACATCTGAAGACATTTTCCTAATCTTCCGTCTCACCTCAGTATCGTAACTCGAGGGACAAGAGAGCCTAACTAGCCACACGTGTGTAAGAAACTCGGTGTAAATACATAGGCGGTGTACGGACGGTGTAAATAAATGTAACGTAAGGACAACCTTCAGGGCCGGACCGATGCATTCTTTCGGTTTTTGAAGTTTTGTTTTCTCAAAAAGTCTGTGAAATTTTTGCATCTCATTCCGCAACGCCGTAATTTTAATCGTTTACTTTTATCCTCTTCACCACTGATCTGCTCGTTAGACGCTTGGGCGATCGGTCACGTCTCCGTTATGCACTGTTGGCAAGTACTGGTCATTCACCGGCTCCTGAATGTACCTGAACCTGCTCCAGTGCTTGTCAAGTCTGGTCTTGAAACAGCTCACACTCTGTGCCGTCACAACACACTCTGGCAGATTGTTCCAAGAGTTCACAACTCTCACTTTGAAAAAGTTACCCTCACAGTTTTCTGGACTTGCGGCTTTTTCAACCTTGAGTTTTGACCCCTTGTGGGGCGAGCGTCCGCCAGCTCCAGGTAAGGGCACTCGAGTGAGTAGTTCCCTGTGAGATGTTCATAAACTTCAATTAGGTCACCCCTTGCAGGCGCTATAATCTCAGGGTAGCTGAGGTGACATAGTGCAGGCACTAATCTGATGGCCCTTTGGACATTTTCAATCAACTGACAGTCTCACATATCTCAGGGACCAGACGGGGTGACAGTACTCAAGGCGGGATTATTCTTTGCACACAATAGTTTAGACACTTCTAGGACTCTTTTCTTCGATGGCGTTTCCCTCGTAAACGACCAGGAACCGAGATATTCTAATATGGCGGGGTCCGGGAGGCGGAGCCGAAGGTGAGGTTAGGGCGGTACTCTCAACCACGTGTCTCAGTCATTGGTAAAATGAGAGTAAAATATAGAAAAAATCGTCTTGTTTTTGTCTGAACTTATTAATGAAACAAAAAATATAATATTGATTTATGTCCTCTACTATAAATTAAACCTCAATTTTAAATAAATTCAATGTAAAAGAAATAAATGTAAAATTTTATGACCTAACATTAGCTAAACTACTCTAACTTTTGTTCGCCATCTGAAACCTTCACAAATTTCCGAGGGCCCGGCTGTAGTAGACTGGTTCCCTGCTGTTAATATTTGTGGACAACAGGTACGGACCGACATACTCCCAGACAGTCTCACTCACAGACAGTCTCACTCACAGACAGTCTCACTCACAAAAAGTCATGTTCACACAGTCATGCTCAAGCCCAGTTTAACCAGTCAGGGGAACGAGCTGGTCACATTTAGTGGTCCAACACTCACACAGAGTCATACTCAGTGGCCTTGTGACCTAACTCATAATCCGCCAAGCACAGTACCGGGAAATGGTAATGGAAATAACACACACACACACACACACACACACACACACACACACACACACACTACCTGCATTACACAGTTAGTCCGATCCAAGTGAATAGAAATTCCTGTTTAATAAGTCTCTCTCTCTCTCTCTCTCTCTCTCTCTCTCTCTCTCTCTCTTTCTCTCTCTCTCTCTCTCTCATTGGTGGACGTTATAATTCATTGTTTTTGTTGGAATGTGTAAGGTTTTTCGAGTCTTTTGTTCCTTTGTTTATGAGAGACTCCTTCCAGCTGTTGCTTAGGCTCAAATATTTTACTTTTGTTTACTTAATCTTCTTGTTTACTTAAGACTTGAAGAGATGTGATCAGAGGGTTTTATACGAGGTTTGAATTATATTAAAGTGTCATTATTTTTTATATATTTTGGAAGCATTGGTGAAGACTGCCCAAAAATGTTTACTGTGGTGGGCTGTGGTCGCCAACCCTCACACCTGAAGATGATAAATGGGTTGGCTGTTGTATTATGTTAAGGTGATAAACGTTAACAGGAGAGATGCTTCTTCAGCGATATCATTCGATGTTAAATTTGGGCGATAGAGTTTCATTATGTTCCTAGAATGATACATGTGTGTGTGTGTGTGTGTGTGTGTGTGTGTGTGTGTGTGTGTGTGTGTGTGTGTGTGTGTGT